GTGTGGCCACTGAAGGTGATCCCCTTTTGATGGAACAACACCCTCTGCTTGCAGACAGGCCCAAGGGTCAGAGCAGACCCTACAGCTTGGCAGAAGGGGCCCAAAGAGGAGTTTTTAGGGTTTAAAATGTAACACAGTGTGGTAATGTAGTGATTCTTACAGGCTGTATGTAAATGCTGTAGGATTGGTACTAGATTGGTTAGTGAGAATTAGAATATTCAACACAGAAGAAGATTTATTGTATTGTAATGGGAACCTCGCTCTCTTACCTTTTTTACTCCCTTACTCTCTCACCCTCTCATCCTCTTGGGCCTGCTCTGAGCTGTGGCTGGCAGCTCCCAGCAGGGCCCTGCCCCCAGGCCCTTTGCAATGAACCCCAAATTCCACGACCTGGCTGCAGAGATCTCTCATCTCCATCCACCCCGACCATCCTAGCTCCTGATGCTCCTACAGAGCTGGATGTGGCCCGGGTGCATGCCCAAGGCTGCCTTGGCACTGTGTGGTCACAGAGGGGCTGGCAGTGCCCGCAGTGCCCGCAGTGCCCGGTGCCAGCAGGCGCGCTCTGTTCCAGGCCCAGAGGCGGGTGAATCCCAGTGGCTGTGGCAGGCAGGAAGATGTCCCACCCCAGGCCGGGGCAGCTCCCTTTCCTTCCCGGCTCCCTGGCCTCTCCCAGGGGAGCAGCAGCAGCCAGGGGGGGCTTTGGGAAGGGCAGAGGCCGGGCAGGAACCGGCGGGCCTGGGGGAGCTGCTGTGAGCTCACGCTGGGCTGGCCCGGGCACACACAATGGCCCCTGCGGGTACCAGGAGGAAGAAAACTCCCCAAGGAATTTCCTCCAGCGTCGGCCCTGCTCAGAAGCTGTTCCTCAGGGATGCAGGCCAGCACTGAGCACATCCCTGGCTGTGGATGGAAATCCCTTGCACGGAGCTGGCTGTCCTGGATGGTCCCTGCAATGGGCCCAGATGGCCCCTGTGGGCACCAGCCCGCTCAGGAGCCAGTCCCTCTGGAGTTCCATCATCCATGGGGCTTTCCTGTAGGCACCAGACACATCCCAGCTCCTGCAGGGAAAGGCGGTGTCCTGCCTGGCACAGGCAGTGGGTGTCTGTCCCACGGGGACTCTGGGTGTGGGAGCAGCATCCCTGGAATTCCCAGGTGGAGGCTCAGGTGTGGCCAGCCCGGCTGGGCCCGTGGCCAGCTCACGCCTGCACAGCAGCACCGGCCCCTCCGGCTCGGCTCGGCTCAGCTCCCACAGCTCAGCTCCCACAGCTCAGCTCCCACAGCTCTGCCACCTCCTGCAGATAATAAAGGAGCTGCCAGCCTGTACAAGACGGATCTCCCAGCTCTCAGCAGCGTGGCTGAACTTTCTGGACTTTCACAACCCACAAAACCTGTAATTAATCACGCTAATGATCGGTTCTCCTTCTATCCCCATCAATCTAACCTGGGGAATGTTTACAGCTCAATAGTGCCACACACAGAGGCTCAGGGAAAATGAGGTGGTGTTTTTTATGAGCTCTCCTCTCATTCCTGGTTCCTCCGGCAGCACAAATAAATCATCCCCTTTGAAACCATCCCCTGGGAGCAGCCAGGCCCAGCAGCCCCACACTGAGTGATGGTGAAACAAGGGAGGAATGAGCACGGAGCATCCGAGCCAGTGGGAAATCCCAGGAGTTCATTTATTCCCAGTTAGAGCTAATCACTGCAGTGGCATGGGCTCTGCACTCCCAGCAGGGACCATCAGCACGAGGAGCAGCCCTGAGCTCGGGCACAGCTCCCTCCACAGCCAGCAAAAGGTGCTGGGGGTGCTGGAAGTGGAGCCTGCTGAGCTCCAGCTGTGGGGTGGAAAGCTGGAGTGTGAGTAAACAGCAGCACTGATGATGAGGAGGAGGCTGAGCGGGAGGAAGAGCAGCTCCCATGGCTGGGAAGGAACCAGGAGAGCCAGGAGCAGTGTCCAGCCCAGCCCTCAGCCAGCAAAGCTCCCAGCCCTGAGCAGGATGAGCTCAAGGGAGTGACCAACATCCCGGGACAGGGATGGACATGGAAATGCCACCAGATCTGCCCAAAGCCACTCACGGAGCCACGAGTGGGACACAGGGCTCTTGGCATCTCAGCAATGAGTGTGCATCAGGAAAACCTCCCACCCCTCTGGAAGCTCTGGCACAGCCCAGTGGCTCCATCATCACCATCCTCCTCCTCAAAGAGCTCCTCAAACAGCCTCCCACTGCCTCAGGAACAAACCTGACTGAGCAGGCCTGGGGGGTCAGCTGAGGATTTCCCAGTTTCTGGATGGAGATGGACTTTGTGGCTCCCCAAAATCCCCACTTGGAGCTGCCAGGGAGCCTGGAGGGTGACTCTGATTTCGGGAACTGGGAAAGTCTTCACCTGCATTTTAAATTAGTGTTGCAACAGCATCAGGCCTCAAGCAAACGGAGCAGGACACAGGTGGGATTCTCTGTCACTGCTCAACCAAGTGCAGGGAGGGAATTGGAAGCAGATGTTGACCAAAAACAGCTCCAAACCCTTCCAAGCCACTGAGCTCACAGGTCCCTGGACTGCCCCTGCCTCCAGGCAGGCCCAGTCTGGACTTAGAGATCTGCCCAAATCAAAACACCCAGAAATTTAAATGGAAAACTTCTGCCTGAGCAGGATCTGCTGGATTTACCCAAGGCTCTGCCATTCCAGGGTGCAGGAACCTCTCTGTGCTCTCTCATTTTGTTTTCAGTGAGACTTGGGAGGATGGGAAAAGGCAGGATGGGCAGAACCAAAGGGATTTTGTACCTTGTGAGGATCCACATTTGCACAGTGTATTTTAATGTTCCTTCCAGCTCCTTCTCCATCAGCTTCAGGGGAAAATTGCAAGATTTCCCTGTGATCTGTGTTTGTGCCAAGGGATGCACAGGCTGTGTCCCAGGACAGGCAGGACAGCCCAGAGCTGTGCACCAGAAGCACAGCCACAGCTCCTAAAGTAGAGGGATCACAAAATAAATGTTTTATTTTAGGATCACAAGGTGCTCAGGCAAAGATCCAGTGCTGAGTCAGGGCTCTACCAAGTCCCCTACATTCTCTACAATAAACAGATGGGTTTTTTGGGGGGAAGGAATGCCTTTTGCAGACACTGAGGTTGAAAAAATCAATAAATCCAGAGCACACTTAGGAAAATGCTTGTAATTTAAAAAGAGCATTTTTAAAAAAAAATTCAAACGGTTTCCCCCCTTTTCAAAATATTTTCTCTCTGTTTTATTATCTTTTTAAAAATTTTTCATGCTCCCAATGCTTTCAAAACAATATTCAAAAGGGTTAAAATATGCACTCTGACCACCCAAAAGATTTTCTCCCACCGTGTTTTTATTGCACCGAATCAAAAGAAAAACTTTTTGGTTCAAATAAACTTGAAACAATTCCTTCTCCTCCCCCCTTCCCTCCAGCATTTTGGTTTAGCCAGTGAGTGGAAAAATCAATTATTCGCACTCCTCTAGGCCGATAAAAAGCTTCAGGACTCCACAAAGAGGCTCAAGGGAGCAGTTGTGTTGTACAGCAAATAAAACAGGCTCAGGTTCTCAGCTCTCCTCTGGGGTCACCCAGGATCCTGTGCTGAGCTCGGCGCTGCTGGCGTGACACAGGCAGTGAAGAGCCAAAGCATTGTCACTGGGGGAACTAAAACATCCTCCTGGGGGGACATCACATCCTCCTGGGGGACTAAAACATCCTCCTGGTGGGACATCAGATCCAACTTTGGTGGGACATCACATCCTCCTGGGGGGACATCAGATCCTCCTTCTGGTGGGACATCACATTCTCCTTTGGTGGGACATCAGATCCAACTTTGTTGGGACATCACATTCTCATGGTGGGACACATGTCATCCTGGTGGGACATCACATCCTCCTGGTGGAACATCACATCCTCCTGGTGGGACATCAGACCCTCCTGGTGGGACCTCATGGCTGCCAAGCGTGTCTGGAGCCAGGGCTGAGCCCATTCCCACCCCACAGTGACAGACACCCCAAGGGACAGCCCCCAGTGCCCCCACCCAGGCCCAGGTCTGCAGCTCCCTGAGCCACCTTCCCCTGCAGGGAAGGACGGGCAGAGATAAATAATGCTGTGATGTTTCAGGATACATCCAAGCATGGCTTTTGTTCCAGGGTTTTTGAGGGTGAATTTATGCATAACTGCAGTGGAAGTAGGGGTTTTTTAAGCAAACTACACATTAAAAGTAAATCAATATTAATTTCTGGAGCCTTTTATTTCCAGCCTCCAGCTGGCAGCTGTATTTGCTTCAGCCCTGTAAAATCTGGTGGGAAAGCTGTTGAGGAAGGAGAAGCTGCAGAAGAAGGCCTGAGAACCTGTGTGAGAGGAAGAGTCACAGTGACACTCAGGGCCATCACTGTGACAGCTGCTCTGGGTCGTGTCCTCCTTGGAAGAGATTTCAAGGAAATGAAGACGAGGAATGCAGAAAGGTGAAGATGGGGATCTCTGTGTTTCATTAAACAAACTCAGCCCAGGTGAAACCCAGGTGGCCTCTCCAAGGGTCAGCCTGGATGGAGCCGGAGCCTTTCCCCACCAGGAGTCATCGGATCCTGGAACGGTTTGGGTTGGAAAGGACCTTAAAGGACTTAAATGTCCAGTGCCACCCAACCAGTGCCACCTCCTGCCATGGGCAGGGACACCTTCCACTGGCCCAGGTTGCTCCAAGCCCTGTCCAACTTGGGGACACTTCCATGGATCCAGGAGCAGCCACAGCTTCTCTGGGCACCGTGTGCCACAGGGATCCACCAGATCGCCGCTGCTGGGAGGCTTTTGGCCCCGGGGCTCCATCAGCCGCTGGGGTCGCTCTCGGCGCCGGTGCCAGTACCGGGCATCCCTAACCCCGGGGCTCCATCAGCCGCTGCCGGTGCCGGTGCCGGTGCCGGTATCGGTGTCGGTCCCGGTGCCGGTCCCGCCCCGTCCCTCGCTGCGGCTCCGCCCCGCCCCGTCCCCTCCCGTCCCGCCGCCGTCCCCGCCCGCCGCGCTCCCGGTGCCGCGGGGCAGCCGCAGCATGGCCGAGCTGCGCATCGCCCCGGCCCCGGCCCCGAGCCCCGCCGCTGCCCCGCTCCCACCGCCGGCCGCAGCCCCAGCCCCGGCCCCGGCGCCGGCCCCGGTCCCGACCCGCCCCTCGGCGCCCGCCCCGGGCCGCCCATAAAAGCGGCCCCGCGCCCGCCCAGCTCCGCCGCCGCCGCCGCCGCCGCTCCGCCGCCGGCCATGGCCAAGGACCAGCTGAAGCCGCGGCTGTGCCGAATGCTCAAGGGGGAGAGCGGCTACGGCTTCCACCTGCACGGCGAGAAGGGCAAGAGCGGCCAGTTCATCCGCAAAGTGGAGCCCGGCTCGCCCGCCGAGGCGGCGGGGCTGCGCGCCGGGGACCGCGTCGTGGAGGTGAACGGGCTCAACGTGGAGCAGGAGACGCATCACCAGGTGCGGGACGGAGCGGGGACACGGCCGGGGCACCGCGGAACCCCGGGCCCAGCGGGGTTTGTGCCCGCTCCAGCGGGGGCTTCACCCAAAATATCCCCGGTGGAGCATCCCCGGCCTGGCCGCGGTGGGGTGGCTGCAGTGGTGGGGTGGGTACCACGGTGGGGTGGCTACCCTGGGGGGGGTGGGTGCAGCCGTGGGGTGGGTACCACGGTGGGGTGGGTACCACGGTGGGGTGGATGCCCCCCGAGATGCCAGGGCTGGGCTTTGCGCGGCCCGGGAGCCGCAGCCCCGTGCGGGGTCGCGCCGCCGGGCGCAGGGCGCTGCAGTCGTGTCAAGGTGGGGAAGGCGAAGGAAGGTGTGTGGGGCTGGGCAGGGCTCTGCCGCGTTATGCAATCTGTGGTGGAAAGGAATGGGGAGACCCGGGCTTTATTTCCGGCTCTGCTGTGGGTTTTCTTGGCTGCTTTAGGCGAGCTGCGCCTGCCTGTGCAGCCCGGAGTGTAGGAAGATGCCTGAAAATCTCCAGATAGAGCTGTGCAGATGTTCAGCGGTTGGGCTGGCCCGAGAGCGATAGGGCTCGGAGGGGGAGCCGTGGCTCTTCCTGACCACGCTGGGACCGGGCAGCTCCGAGGGTGCTGTTTCTGCTCCAACAGAAGCTGTTTCAGGCTGTGGCATTTTCTCCTTGTAAAACTGAAACTTGCATTTGTCAAACAATTTAGTCTAAAAAAAACGAGAAACGCGGAAAAAAACAAGCAATGAGAAAAAAACAAAACAAACAAGCAGTGAGGTTCAAGCTGCTCCAGTCCTGCTGGACACTCGGAGCCTGGCAGGGGCACAATTTGCCTCGTGGTTTGTGGGGCTCAGCAGGATTTGGTGTTTTAGTAACTTAAAACATCTGCTCAGCGCCGCTGCCAGCACTGCAGGGGACAGAGATGGGATGTGCCTCGAGCCTGCAGGGTTTTGGGGGACTCTGTGTTCCCAGACCTTGCCCCAGGTGTGGATGTTGCTGTGCTGAAGGTGGAGCTGATCCTTCCAGGTGGCTCCAGTAAAGCCCCGTGTGCTCCTCTCCATGAGCCTGGTGGGGTTTGGTGGCTAACTGAGCTTGTTTTGGTGCTCTGAGCCAGCCGTGTGAAAGTTGATGTTTGTCCTGAGTGCGATTTCAAACCCCTTGAAGGAGGATCCCCATCTTTGATGTGGCTGGGCAGGAAGGAGAGCTGTGTTCCTGTGGTGCCTTGGAAGCCACCAGAGCTCCCTGCTGGCGCTGGGCTGCTGGGGACGGGCGATAGCGGAGCCAGCTGCGCCTTTGAAATGTGCTGGGGCTTCCCAGTAGGTCAAGTGAAATGGGAGGGGGAAATTTCTCTTTCTTCCTTTTTTTTTTTTGGTTGTTGTTTGTTTTTGTTTTTGCTGCTGGTGGCAGGATGGAGCGCTGGCACTCGCTGGCTGCTGCAGAGCAGTGATTGGAACAGGGGGTCCCATCCAGGGTGTCCGGGAGCTCGGTGCCTGCTCTGGCTGCCGTGGCACTGGGATCTGTGACAGTACCAGTGGTGGGAGCCCTGCCTGCCTGGGGTCACCCTTTTCCCTGCCTCAATGCCACGAGAACCAATTCCTTCCCCCAAAAGCCCTGCTGGGCCGTGGCAAGGGCGATGCCCTGGCGGGTCACACGATGGCTCTGAGCCGCCGCCTCACCGTGGCCCTTCCTCTGCTGCTCCTTGCCCAGCCTTGAACAAGTAACACTTCTCCATGTGCATAGGGGAGCCCGCAGCACACAAGGCCTCGCTGGTTGGGTGTAACTGTGTTTCCAGCTGAAGCTGGCAGCATTTTTGTCTTTGTTCTCTGTTTTTTTTCTTGGCCATGCCCAAGGAGCGCAGGCAGTGCATGCTCTGTCTCAGGCTTGCATCCTGGGTTCCTCGGAACCGGGCAGAGCCGCAGCTCCTGGGCACAGAAATGCTCCTGCTGCCCGGGGAGCCTGGCAGCATGGAGCAGGGCACGGGCACCTCTGTGGGAGCAGCTGCTGCTGGTGGCACCGTGAGTCCTTCCTGGGCGCTGCTGTTTGGCAAGGGTGGCGGGGCCGGCGCTGCCGGGCTGGCGCTGCTGGCGCAGGGGTAAAAGTCAGCCTGGGTGGAGCTGCGGAAATGGTGGGGCTGGCTCGGGTGCTGAGGAGGTCCCAGATGAGCAGGGCAGGCTGCATTGTCTCCAGAAGCCTGCGGGACTCCAGGCTGGGAGCATGGCTCGCAAGCGGGTATGGTGCTGGCCAGGAGCTCGCTGGGGGCTGCTGCTCTGCCTCCTGCCTCTCTGCTCTGCCCCCAGGGAGAGCTGCTGCCTTGGGGGGCTCCTCACAGCCCCTCCTGCTCGTCCTGCTTGTGGGGAGGGGGCAGGGGGCTGCTCTGTGCCACTCTCCATCCCTGCCTGGCTCAGCCCCCAGCACTCGTGGGACCTTCGCTCCATCGCTGCTGTTGCTGTAGGGGGGCTCGGCCATGGGGTGAGCCCAGCACTGCTCCATCCCAGCTTTGGACCCTTCTGTGCACTCTCTGAGTTTCTCTGCAGTCTGTGGGACCCCTGTGATCCCCTGTGCTGCCTGGAGCACCTGAACTGCAGGCTCTGGGGGATGTCCCTCCAGGGCCAGCACCTTCCCCGTCCACATCTTTGCTGCCGTGCTTTGGCTGCTGCTGCCAGGTCCCCTCTGGGAGAATGTCCCTGCACAGGCACTGCTGGTGTCAGCAGCACCGTCTGATGGCAGATGTAAACGGATCTGAACAGGAGCAGATGGATTTTCTGGGCCTGATGGATCAGCACCCTCCAGGCTGGTTACGGAGGGAGCTCAGGATTGCTGCTGTGCAGGCAGGGGCTGCAGTGGATGAGTTGCTTCAGCCCTGGCTGCAGCCTGTACATTTCTTACAGGCTGGTTTTTTTCTTGTTTGCAGATACCGGCTCTGTTGACCTTGAGTGGAGCTCGCAGGGAGTAAATAAATGCTGGTTAATTGCGTATTAGGCTCGTTTGTCGCTCTAACCTTGGCGTGTCTGGCCACTGTGACCTAGATCAGAGCAGGAGCCCTGCAAGGAGCCCCGGGCTGCTTTTGGGGGGTTCTCAGCACATCTGGGGTGTTCAGGGCTGCCCCATGGCTGGGGATGGGAGCTGAGCAGCACTGCCAGCAATGCCACCCCTCCTCCTCCTCGGGATGAAGGCCTGTGCAGGGAGGAGGTGCCCTCAGCAGCTGCCAGCAGTGGGTCTGGAGGTGGTTTCCCTGTGGATGTTCTGGGTTTTCCCTGTCTCCATCCCAGCCCGCTCTGGTGGGATTTACCCCCTGCCTGGCTGTGGGATCAGCTCCTCCTGGCTCTCTGCGGTGTCAGTGCCTGTTGGAGCCTCTGCCAGTCCCTGATCCTGCAAAGGAGCCGGGCACAGCAGGACAATGTCCCCATTCAGCCCTGCTGGAGCTGGATCCTGCCAGGGACGGGCTCATCTCCCGCTCCCAGCACTGGCTCCCCTCTTCTCTGCTGTTTCCCAGCACAGGCTGGGGATGGATGCATGGATTGGGCTGTTTGCTTCCTAAATCTACCCCTAGCCTGCACAATGGTGTGGTGGGGACAGTCCAGCATTTGACTGCCCATGTTGGTGCTTCGAGCCTTCCTGTGGCCCCTGGCTCATGCCCTGCCCTGGGTACGGGAGTAGGACACCCTGGATTGGAGAGACAAGGGTGTTTGCTTGGTGGGACAGAGGGTTGCTGATGCTCGAGGGGCAGTGCCAGCCTCTGGAAGCTCCTGACCGAGCAGGAGGCCATCCCAGGTAGCTGGGCAGGGTGATCCTGGGTGGCCTGGGCAGAGCTGCTGTGTGGCTGCAGGACCTGGGCTGGAAGAGATCCCCAGGCATCTCCCAGAGCTGTGTCCTCGCCCTTTCTGCCTCATCACCTGTATCTGGGAGCATAACCCTGTACCCAGACTGGAGCTGCAGTGCTGGGGGGGAGCTGATGGCCCTTGGGTGCCACCCCCGGTGTCCCCTGGGCTCCATCTGAGCCGTCCCTGTTGTCCCCAGGTGGTGCAGCGCATCAAGGCCGTGGAGACGGAGACGCGGCTGCTGGTGGTGGACAAGGAGACGGACGAGTACCTGTGCAGCCTGCGGCTCACCTGCACCGAGGACATGGTGCACAACGGGATCCTGCTGGGCTCGGCAGTGCCCCCTGCCAAGGGCCTGCCCAGCGACAACGGCGAGCTCTGGAAGCCACAGCTGGATCTGAGCGGGGGCAGCCTCCAGAGGCATTCCCACAGCTTCTCCTCCCACGGCAGCAGGAAGGTGAGGGGGGCTCTGGGGAGGGTGTGGGACCCCCTGGGATCTCCTTCCTCCTTGGGCATGGCTTGTCCCGTCAGAGAAAACCCTTCTGTGTGTGGCTGTCACCCTGGGGACCCCCAGTGTCCCTGTGGAATCTCTCACTCCAGGCAGTTGAGGGCTGTGCATTCCCTCTCCTCTGGTGTCCCCGAGGGTCTCCTGAGCTGCTGAGGGGCTGCCAGTCCTGGGGACAATGACCCCACGGTGCCTCAGCCAAGGCTGGTGTCCCAGCCTGGGTCTCAGGCTGCCCAGAGCAGGGCTGTGGCCAAGCTGGAGCTCATGAATGAGCTTCTCTCCCTCCATTATTAGCCGGAGGGAGGGAACATCTGGGCTGAACGTGTTCGCAGCTTTTTGCTGGAATAGGAAGTTAATTGGCTCTTTTCAAGCGGCCTGGGTCTGGCCTGGGACTCGGCACTAAGTGCCTTTTATTGGTAAACTCCTTTCCAGAAGGGAAGGAATTCGGGGTGGAACAGGTCCAGTTTCCATGGCTGTGGGGCTGGAGCCGGCGCCGGCAGGAGCGGGGCTGATAGCGGGGCTGGCTCGGGCTGTGGGGCTGCCAGGAGCTGCCTGGGCCCTGTGTGCCCTGCCCCACAGCCATCTGTGCCTCCCATCCCTGTCCCCCTGTCCTGTGCTCGCTGCTCTGGGCTGCTCAACAGCCTCTTCAGCACGGAGCTGCTGGGCATCCTCCTCCTCCTCCTCCTCCTCCTCCCTGGGGGCCCTGCAGGGGCTGCGCTGCCAGCTCGGTCTCTGTCCCCTCGCACTGGCCCAGAAGTGGCCACTGGGCTTGCAGGAGAACATCCGTGGGCAGGCTGGGAAAGCACTGTGTCCTCAGGAGCCCCTCGTGCAGAAACCCCCCTGCAGATAAGGGTGACGATGCTGGTGTGAGGCAGGAGAGGGGCTCTCACCTCTGGTGCTTCCCTCTGGAGCTGTTTGGAGTCTTGCAGAGAAGGCTCCCCCTTCCCTGGGCCAGCCTCGGGGGCTGTGCTTTATTTCCCTTTATTTACTGCCTGATTTGAAGCTCTGTGTGTGAGGGTGGTGCTGGCTGTGTTTCCCCGGCGGCTGCAGCCCCCCTGGGACAGGAGCCATTCCCAGGCAGAGGGTGGCTCTCACCCGGGGCATTTCCTGCCCTGTTCCCGGGGCTGGTCGGGCTCCAGCAGCGGGAGCTGACGGGAAGTCAGGCCGGGGAACAGGACGGTCCTTTCCGGCCTTTGGGCTGGGGCTCCTCGAGGAGAGGGTGGGACAGGGAGAGCAGGGCTGGAGGGGGGAGCAGGGGCTCTTTTCCTGGGCACTCCGTGCTCACTGTGCTGGACACGGGGCTGATGTTTGGGCTGGACAAGGGGAGCTGCCTCCAGGGGTGATTCCCCCTCGTGGGGATGGGGTTGGGCTGCTGAGCCCCTCGGGGTGCTTTGCTCCTGCCCCAGCCCCTCGGGGTGCTTTGCTCCTGCCCCAGCCCCTCGGGGTGCTTTGCTCCTGCCCCAGCCCCTCGGGGTGGTTTGCTCCTGCTGTGAGCCCCTTGGGGTGCTTTGCTCCTGCTGTGAGCCCCTCGGGGTGCTTTGCTCCTGCCCCGGCCCCTCGGGGTGCTTTGCTCCTGCTGTGAGCCCCTCGGGGTGCTTTGCTCCTGCTGTGAGCCCCTCGGGGTGCTTTGCTCCTGCCCCAGCAGCTCTCAGGAGAGCTGGGCACTGCCAGCTGCCCTGCCAAGGTCACCTCTCAGTGCCAGGTGCTGTGTGTGACTCTGGGGTGAGGTCAGGGGTGGCTGGAGCAGCAGGACCTGCATCCTGCTCCTGTGCCTTGCCATCCTGCCTGATTCAAGGTGGTGAAACCTGCCCCAGGTCCTGCTCTGCTTGCTGTGTTCCCCTTGCTGGCTGCCAAAGCAGCAGGAGGCCAGGGCATGGTGCAGAAGGGGTGGTGGACCCCAATTTCTGCCCTGCACTGTGTCCCCCCATGGGGCAGCTCGAGCCTGACCCTAATCCAGCAGCTCACAGGCACTGGAATGAGCAGATCCTGAGTGTGGGGGTTTTTGGGAGATTTCTGCTGCTGCAGTGAGGCTGTGACAGCTGGGATACACCCAGGGATTTTTCCCCAGCCAGATTTAGGGCTTTTCTCAGCTTTCCTGGAGGCGTTCAGTGAAGGAAAGGAGGCAGCTCCTTCCCCCTGCAGACCCGTGGCCCCAAGCTGTCCCTGTGGGAACTGGGGCTGCTGCTCCGGGGAGCTGCATTTTTGTCAGCAGCGTTTGTTTATAGAAAGCCTGGAGTTTTCCTGGATTGGAGGCCGGGGTTGTTCAGGGCAGCCTGAGGAGAGGAGCAGCTGAAACAAAACGAGGAGGGAAATCTGGTGCTGGTGGTGATGGAGCAGGGAGGGTGGGCACAGCCCTGGCACCCCCTTGGAGCTGCCCTGGGTGGGGAGGTCACCGTGCACCCCTGGCAGGGAGCTGTGCCCAGCACCTCGTGCTCCAGGAGCCCCGGTGCTGCCATGAATAATTCAGCATGTGTTTAAAATCCTGCCTGGGGAGCAGGTCAGCAGGGCTGGCAGCCAGCAGCCGTGCCTGCCACAGCTCTGCTGTGCCCAGGGTGGCTGTGGTGGCACAGGGAGCCAGGGCTGCCCTGTCCCACCAGGGGAATCGTGCCCATTCCTGTCTCTGCTGGCCTGGGGGGTTTGTCCCACTCTGTCCCCTGGCAGGGCACGTGTCCCCCACGCCAGGTGCTGCCCTGTCCCCAGCAGGCTCTGGCTGTGCCCTGCCTGAGGTGCACAGGTGGGGTTTGGGGCTCCCAGCGTGCCAGGGCTGCTCTGGGTGCTGGCTGTGAGCTGCTGTAATGGCAAAGGTGCCTTTGGGCCATGGCTGGCTGTGATTCAGCGCCTGGGCTGGTGGTGTGGGACAGGCAGGGGAGCTGCAGGGCTGCCAGCGCCTCACCTGGGTGCTGCTGCTCATTCCAGAGGTGTCCACGGTGGGCTGGTGTCCTGGTGGCAGCTTTGCAGGGGCTGTGGCTCTGCTGTCCCATTCCTGCAGGGCACTGGGACCCCGTTATGGCCATTAGGGAGTTCCTTGGGGCTTGCTGCCTTCTCTAGGTGTGTTTGTAGGAGAAACAAGAGCGACAGCAAAGCCAGAGAAGGATTGGGGGTGATGCAATTCCCTTCCTTCATGCTCTGGTCTGCAGGGGTTGGGTGTGCAAAGGGACCTTTACAACCTTGGTGAAGGATAAACTTCTCCAGAGTTTGTCCTTTGGAGGACAAACCCACATCTTGGAGCTGCTGGATTCAAGCCCGTTGAGTCTGGGAATCCTAATGGGGGGAATTAGTGGCTGGTTGCAGGTTGTGCTGTGCTGGGGAGGGATGTGTCACCTTAGGGTCACTGCTGGCAAGAACTGGAGGCAGCAGGATGGTGTCCCTGGGGTGACAGGGGGTGGTGGCAGCTCCTGAGCCCCCCGTGTGTCTGGGGACAGCTGTGCTGCTCTCTGAAGGATGAGGGACCAGGTGTGGGCTCAGTGCTGACCTCGAGGCAGTCAATATTTACCCTTCCTCTGGGCCAGGAGTAAGAACTTGTGTCTGCTGCAAATGAACCCCTTGTGCTGTGATGTGTCCTGCCTCAGCTCTGCGAGGGGGGGAATAACTCAGGACAGATGTCTGCAGAGCACTTTGCCAGCTCAGCTGAGGCCCAAAATTTAGGGCTTGTAGAATAACCACAGAGATGTAATAAAACCAAACATGAGCAGAAAAGTCTGCAGCAATTATGCAATTTAAAAAAATAAATAAGTGGATGGTTTGAATTAAAGCACTTCCCTGCAGCATCTTCCACTGACTGTGGCAGGCTGGGCTCGGGGGGAGAGGGAGGTGGGAAGGATGGCACGGCTCAGCCCTGGCACGGCTCAGGCCTGGCACAGCTCAGCCCTGGCACGGCCTGGTGAGGCTCCTGCTGGGCAGGGAGGGCTGTGGGGAACCCTCTGTGTCCCCGTGCATTCCTGCCCTTCCCACAGCAGCTGCTTTTGGGGATGCTGGGTCTGAGAGATGAGGGGCATCGGGGATGTGCTGCCCTGGGGGCTCTGCCCATTTCTGCTTTAAAAAAACCCCTTTGCAAAGCCAACTGTGCAGTGTGGGGCCTCTCCTGGCTGAGGACGTGGGGTGGGATGGATGAGGAAGGGAAGGTGCCTGGAGAGGCTCTGCCAGCCCTCCTTGCCCTGTGTCTGTGAGGGTCTGTGTGCGTGGCAGCTCAGCCAGGGCTCCCTGGTTTGGGGATCTCCATCCCGAGCAGCAGCAGCAGCAGCCGGGTGGGGCTGTGGGGCCGCCCTGCTGACCCCGCTGCATTATTGATGTCCCCGGGCTGTGGCATCGCGTGTCACCGGCTGGGGGTGGGCTCGGGAGCGGCTCCAGCTCCGCAGCTCGGCTCTGCGGGCTGGGACACCCGGGGCTGGCAGTCCTCGTCCCTGGGTGTGCCAATCCTCGTCCCTGGGTGTGCCAATCCTCGTCCCTGGGTGTGCCAATCCTCACCCCTGGGATTGCCAATCCTCGTCCCCGGGTGTGCCAATCCTCGTCCCCGGGTGTGCCAATCCTCATCCCTGGGATTGCCAATCCTCGTCCCTGGGACTGCCAATCCTCATCCCTGGGATTGCCAATCCTCATCCCTGGGACTGCCAGGGCCAGGCTGGACCCAGGAACAACCCAGGATAATGGAGGTTTCTGAATGAGATGGATTGGGAGCTCCTGTCCCATTGTTAGGAAAATTAATCCACAAACACCCGAGGTTTATGTCCAAAAAGGAGACAGAGGAGTCCTTTGACTTTATTCCAATAAAGGGAGAGGCCATGGGGCATTTCCCCTGGGATCTCTCCAGTTTTTTGGAGGACACAGCCTCCTTTTTATCCCAATTTCCCGGCCATATTTCCCTTCTCTCTTTCCCCATTTCTGAGGTACTTGAGAGGTTCAGATTTCCCAAAACGCCTGATACCAACCAAAGATTCCCCTCTAATGTGTAACCC